TGTCAGTGTTTGATGAGACCAAAGTGTATTTTTTTTTCAGGACACAGAATGAAAATATTAAGCTGCTCTGACTGCTCTGGTCTTCATCAGGAGCAATGAAAAGAATGAACTTGCTCAATGCAGGACACATAGCCTAACTGTAATAGTGAGGAGGGAGGAATGGCACTTTTCTAAAGACTATTCTTGGGCCAAATTCAAACATATTTTGCAAATGTTGGGAAAGCATTACCCCTGAAAGCCAGAAGGTCAATCTTTCTGATGAGTGCTGGCTTCTTACCACTCTGCCAGCACGAGGCATGAACAATAGATATATTTCTCTTGAACTTAATTCTCTGAGACATTTGTGAAAATAAACCATTGTCAGTTGAGATAATCCCTTGAAATGTTAGCCCCAGTTAATGTTTTGGAGGCAGTGGTGGGAAGTGTCAAGTGACTTAAAAATAGCATGACCAATTTTGCCTTTAGCACAAGCGGTCATTAGCATCTGGCCAAGGATGTTACATGACACTGGGTGGCATATTGTCCATTCATAGAACAGGGACATTCCTCTCAAAAAGACATACCAGCACACTCCTATTCATTATTCAAATGAGGGAAAAGCTTTTCCTTGCCCATCCTGGATTTTGCAGGACATTCCTGTGTGTGTTTACTTTTCTGGAATACATGTATTATATATGTACATTATATATACAATATTGTATAGCCATGATTAGGTGTGCAGACACACACTCTCTGGCTACTGGTGACATGCCTTTCCCAGTCCTGGTAGACACAAAATTCTGGGATGTCACCAAATACTGCAGTGTTGTCCTACCTCTTGTTCAGGATATCTCTGTGGTTCCTCCATTCCCAGCTGATCCAGCTGCACTGATCTGCTGGGATCTGTCTGTGAGAGATGGATCTGTAGATCCATTTCGCACAGACAAAATCAAATCCATTTCCCACACCTGTCCTGAGGAGTTTCTCCCTGATGAAAACCATACCAAGAGGCCATGCTTCAGGTCTGGAAATTCCTCCAGGCCCAAGCAGAGTACAGGACAGACCACCCCAGCATAACCCTTTCCCTCACCTGCTCCCACCCTTGAGGGCTGCAGCCCAGAAAGGATCCCTTCTCCTCACATGCACTGGAGCTCTAGAGCCCTCCTCTGAAATTTCAGAGGCAGACCTGGGACTGCACTTTCTGCCTCTCTGGATTGTGAGAGCCATTAGCCCAGTTTCCAACACAAACACTTCTGTGGTGTACTAGAGATATAAAAAAGGATTTTTTCCCCCCTCCCTTTTTCTGTCCAGAAAGCTTTTCTCTCCCGGATTTGTCATTTTGGGTTACTCCCCTTTAGATGGCACTGTTACCACTTCCAAGAGAGATCACTGCCGGGCACTTCTCTGAACAGGGCTGAAACTGGGCCAGGACTGCCACTATCATGGCTTAACAAGCCAGAGCAGGTCAGGAGTGATCCAGACCAGGGCTCTGGAAATATCTGCTCTAAAAATTCTTCGTGGTATCACTCCAGCTCCCATCACTGAGTTGTTCACTCTGCAATACCAGCACAGCACAAGGGCTGTATGGGCAAGAGGAACATCTGACAACTTTAAGGACACATTTAATCTGCTCCTCTTCAGAATCAATTTGAAGCAGTTCCAAAAGTCAACAAGAGTCATGTGCATATACGAGGGTCTTAAGCTAATACATCTGCTAATTAAATAATAATTAAAAGCCATGCTCTTCAGAGGCACTGCAATCATTATTCTCATGATTATGTCAGAACCACTGCTTTAATATTTTTCACGTCTACTGCCTCAGTTATCACCTGCTTCAATTGCCTAGGCTTTTCGCAAGGATAGAAAATTGTTTTAAGTGGCATTTAATGGGTCTGCATTAAATACTGCTACATGTTGTGCACTTCTAGATGCCAGTTAAAAGAATCTTGCCAATTAAGTGCATTTTCAGATGAAGAAGAGAGATGATTCTAGGATACCATTCAGCAGTGGTCTGAAACAGTCAGAAAACAAATCCACAAAATTATAAGAAAATGGTCATGTAATCTTGAATCACTCAAAGAAACTGCTGGTGTGGTCCAACACTCTATTACATACAACACTCTCTTTCTACACAGCTAACCATGTTTGTTGGACCACTTGCATTGGTGCTTTCCACGGCTTTGGAAAGAGAAGAGAAACAGTGTAAGCAAGACAAGAGAGCCACAGGCATGGGCCTACTTGCACCTACACTGGTCCTTGGGTTCTTTTTAAGACTCAGTCCTGTCCTCACTGCCTAGGAGCACATTTTACAACAGAATTTAGGTCCAAATCTGAGAAAAATCTATGTTTTGAACATTATTTTGCTGTGATGTAAGGGGAGAAAGACATTGGACACAAAGGACTGTTGGCCCATAAAAGGCTCCCTCGTATCAAAATAGGATTGGGTCCTCTGCTAAACAAGAGTGGAACTGCTAGCTGGACAGATCAACCCCAAACTTCTCAGGAATAAGGTTGCACCTTTTTCTTGAATTAATGTTTGTCCTTTGCCAAACTGCAGTTCCACTCAGACCTCAAGCATTTTGCCTGCAGGGTTCTCAGAAACAGATACACCCAACTGTTATTATTTTTATAATGTGAAATGTTGGTTTATTTTTTCCCATGCTGCCCTAACTCAAAGACAGCCAACTCAATTTTGCTCAAGCCTTCAGACAATAATGCCACCTCAGAAAATGCCTACAGATTGTATTTTCAACTGACACTCAAGAACTTGTAAGCCTGTGTCTATGTTGCAAAACAAATGACTGCCCAGTTACACAACTGCTTGAGTAGTCCCAGATTGTCCCACTGTATGTAGGCTCTCAGCTTAAGCGTTGAATTTAAGAATGCAGCAGCCTTAGTGCTCCCTGGTAGTCTCAGACGAGACAGGCGAGTTAACTCAAGCAGAAATTCAGGTCTTTGGTGCTTTAAATAGTCTTCATGAAGTGCTCACCTGCCTGCATGCACTAAAAATGGAGCCTAAAGCAACCACACTCCTAAAGGAGGTACCACATCTGCATGGATCTGGAACAAATCTACATCTAATCCTGAAATCTACATCTAAACCTGAAGGCGCCTAAATTCTACAGGTGTATTATTTTTCACCTCCAGGCACTCAGAGGAGCATTACTGCAATCCCCCAGCTGGCCTGAGAAACACAGAGGAGCTGGGAATATGAGGTGCAGCTATGCTTGGCCAGACTTGGAGAGGATGCTATTAAATAAAGACACCTGAGCTGTTCAATTTAGGAGGCATTTTCAGGACAGATCCAACATGCACCAACAGCAGAACAGTCATCTCAAAGCTCAGTTGCAGCAGCTGTTCTCATTTAAAACATATCCAGAGGAGATGAAGGAGATATGAGAGCTCCTTCGGAAATTGTGAATGTGATGAAAAATCTCTCCCCAGTGGACCGTGCACAGACAAAGCTGAGCTGACAATGCTCTGCCCCTTTTTATTTCCCTCTGATTTAAACAAGGATACTCCACAGCCAGCTCAAAAAAAACACAAACAAAACAACAACAACAACAAAAAAACCCCAACAAAACACCACCAAACTAAAAAAAAAACCCAAATAAAAAAAAAAAAAAAAAAACAAAAAAAAAAAAAAAAACCCAAAAAAAAAAAAAAAAACCCAAAAAAAAAAACAAAACAAAAAAAAAACCCAACAAAAAACAGCAGCAAAAACCTAAACCCATCCAAAAATGTTTAGAAACACCTAACAAGCCCTGATATACAGAAATGTCAAGTCTAAAGAAAAATAGAGGGGGAAGATCTCCTGGGAAGGTATTTAAAATATTTAGGACATTTTAAGAACTTGATTTTTCACTTCAGTGAATGCTCCCTGGCAAGATCAGCTCCGACTTAGGGAAGAGAATGAACTGCTATTTATTCAAAGGTAACCTTTCCCACTAATATAAAAACCACCAAAACTAAATAAAGTATTTCAGAATTTTTAAGTCTCACTTAATTTAGGTTTTGTTTCCTTGCTTTTCTTTCTCCCATTTAATACAGAAAATTTATTCTTGTCTTTTCCAAAAGTAGGCAAACAGGCCATCAAGGGTGTTATCCAAGCCTTGGGTCCTACTGCTGGGAATTGTCTGCCTGTTTTAGAAGATAGCCAGGACACCAGCTTAACCTGGGATGTTATAAAATACATGGGCATGGTGTGATCCAGGTCTGGACCTCAGAGCCCAGCTACATTTCCTAGATCACTAAACAGCTTTTGAAACAAGCAACACCTTCACGTGTTTCATGGTTATTTTGGTTGTCTTAAAATGTATTCATTTTGACTTGCGTGAATAAATAAGGTTCTCTAATTACCAGCAACATTTTCTTTATGTTCTCTATACCTGCTGCGTGTAATCTTCTGCATGCTGAGATAATGTTATCCTAACATCTTCAGGAACTGGCAACCCTGTGACAGGGACACCCTGCCCAATCCATGGTGAACAGGAAGAGTGGATAATTATTGAGGGAAATCAAATTGCTTCCTTCATCTAACAGCTTTGGTTGCTCACAAGCATTAATATCTCAGTTACACTTTCCATTCCAGCTCTAGTAATCAGAGACTGGAGCTTCTAAGTTTCTGGATCTCCTTTACTCCTAAAAGCCTTTGCTTGTAACAAATACTTCATTCAAAATACTTCCTTTTCCAAGCTCCTACGCCTTTTTTTTCAAATATATGGCATCAAATTATTCAACTTATCAGATTGGATGGCATCTACACTTCACACACAATTTCTTTGGCCATCTAATCCCCAAGCTTGGTGACTTAACAGAGGTGCCAGATTTCTTTGTCATTGCAGTTTTCCTTTCTATAATTCTATGAAATTTGAATTCCTTTCTCATAATAATAATTGTAAAGAAATTACCTGCTTTGGTCCCAAGAACAAATCTTCAGTGACTGAGGAATAAATTTGGGCAAGTGACACATGTAAAGGCAAAGAATCTTTTCAATGGTAAGAAGCACCCATTGCACTTACCTGCCTGAAAAAGTACTGTGTTGTTATAGCAAAGACATCAAAGCCACAGCTGGCCCTTTTAAGCTCATCTTGGATATTGATTAATTGCCGGGACTGCTCATCACACTTTTCCTTCAGTTTCTGAATAAACTGCTTTTCAGTGTCTCGCCCCTCTCCTGGTTTGGGGGAGAATCCATTCTTTGGGGTGGTTGGCCTTTGCTTGGGATGTCCTACAAAGGAGGGAAGAAAAGACCATCCAGGTCACTTAGTTTACATGTACAGACATGACCTTTATGTGTTTCTATGGCCCCTGGGACTCATCCCTACAAAAGAAAAAAAGGTCTGTAGCACTCACCAGGAATTTCCAGTCTTTCAAAAACCAACAAACAAACAAACAAACATACAAACAAAAACATAGTGAAATATGTTTCTTTGGGGTCAAAGCTCTTTAACAGTCATCTCACCTCAGGCTCTGAGCCTGAAAGTCTTCTACAAGCTGAGGAGAGCTGTCCAAAGAGTGTATCACTGAGAACTGAGGTTGCTGGAGGAAGGAAGCAGCTCACCTCTGCTAGACATCTACAAGAACAGAGGTCTACATCTCTCTTGAATGGCAGTGAGAGAAATGGGCACTTCCAGGTGAGGATTCACCTTATCTTGTTGATGACAAGGAAAAGAGCTAGGTGACATTTCTACTCTACACATGGTATCTTAGCTCACATGAACCCCCAGCCTGGTGACTTTACAGAGGTGCCAGTTTTCCTTTGCCTTTGCAGAATTCATTTTGCCTCTACACAGGACAATGTGGTGCTGGAGTTGTCCCTCCCTGAATGCAAACCTAGCATGGATTGCTTGCTATGGGATACCACTTTTTATCTACAATACTGCAGTCTACCTTGAGAGTTCCCCTTGCTCTCACCTTTACGTGTCCAAAATTGCAGCACTTCGCAGATATGCACTGAAGTGCCACCAAGTGCCACACAATGCACAAGAGTTACATCACTGGCTCTGCATGGCTGCTCTCTTGGAATCATTGATCACACCAGAATCATTGTTTGCCTGCAGAAATAGGCCCAGACAGACTCTGGCTCATTTGATGTTCTCCAAGTTGGCTTGAAGCAAGCCTGATGCTGTACAAGCATGTGAAAGCACTAGTGTAGCTTGTGTTTAGGGTATAGTGTCATATTTGTATCAATGGCACCAGAACTGAAGCATACTCATGATAAGCCACTTCAGAAAAGTGGAGCTTTTTTTCTTCAGTTCCCATCCTTCTTGAGTCAACTATCCATTTCTGTGGATATACCCAGTTATGAGGATGAAGCAAGAAGGGGCAGTATTCTGGTGACATCGAACTGCTCAAGCCACTGCTTGGAAAATCTGCTCTGTCTTCACCTTCTTTGCTTTCTGAGAACTCTCCTCTGCAAACATTTATGGCCAGCTGGGCATCACCTTTGTACAGCTTAGTGACTCTTTTTGCTCAGTCTTTCTTGCTACCCTTTTGCTACCCCTCAGTTGATGGTCTTTAGTTCATTCCTGAATACTGGCCAGGAACCTCCAGTCTTCAACAGATCCTCCCATTATTCTCCAGCTTTTACCCTCGAAGCTAAAGTCAGTAAGAAAAAGGGAGAAAATATGAGTCAGACACCTTCATCCCATGTGTTACTAGAGATGGTGGACGTGGGCCTGGAACATTTCTGTGTTAGTAGAAAAGGTTGTGTGTGCAAGAATACAATAAAGGAGGACAGTTTGTAGTTTTATAGTCTTGTAGTATCCAGTTCCTGAAAACAATACAGAAACCATGTGTACAACCATTCTCCAGCAATCAATGTAATAGGAGACAGTCTTCTGCCATGAATACTACCTATCCTTTTCCTAAAAAGCCAAAGAATCCCTCCACAGAGATGCCTCTGATGGTATGAATCTGAACCAATTTGTAAAGTAGAGCATTACAAATTCCAGAAGTAATTTTGTCAGATGTGCTTTAGATCTTTTAGATCTTTAAGACTGTGGTCTGGGTTTGCAAATAGATCCTAAGAGCAGTTTTTCAAGATCAGGCAGGGGAACAGTATGGCTTCCCCAGAGCAAAACCCCAGGAGCCTATTCCTACTTTTTCAGATTCCCAGCTTGTACATAGCTGTTGGGAGCATATCTTCAATCTTGCTCAGCTACATCCTGGCTCCAGGCTAAGCCTACAGGGTGCCAGCTCCAGCAGAGATGCCCCCTCATTTCTCCAAGCATCTCGTGGTTCAGCTGCAAAGAGCCACGAGTGTAAAAAATCCCTTTGAAATTCTTTTTGTCCATGGCCTGCATTTGTGACAAAGAATACCATGTTCTGCAGCATCAAGACTAATGCCATGTCATTGAAGGACCCAAATAATACAGCACAAGGAGTTTTTGTCATTAAGAGAGTTCAAGCAGCATAAGTATTGCCCTCTATCCATTTTTATGTCACTTGAAGCCTGTCAACCTTTTTGTGCAGTAATAAGAAAATACAGACTCTTCCATTCATGTCAAGGGTCTCTTAGCTGTGTAGTAGGTAATACCACAAAATAAGAAACTCATAAAAGCAAGAGCCATAAATATCTGTCTTCTTAGTATAAAAATCTTGGGTTGTTTAAGCAAGACAGAGATGTTACAACAGAAAGCTTAGGGAGAAGTGTAGGGGAAAGCCCTTGAAATCAGTTCAGTTTTTAATTAAAACAGAAACCCATCAGGTTGCTTAGTCTTACATCTCTCTAGCCTTCCTGTTCACTGGAAGATTTGAAGTGCACATCTCTGTATTGTCCTTGTCAGTATTATAAGCTGTCCTTGTAAATTAAACGGTGCTATTCTCCTCAGGGATAAATCTGAATTTCTCGGTTCATTTGGGTCTGAAAGGCAGCTTACTAAGCTTATTCTGCCATTGATGTCTCTCTTCTGTTGCTCTGCACAAAACAGGGTATATATTAACGATGCTGGCCCTTATCCTCAATGTCCTTTTTGCTGATGGTGGGACCAGAGGGGCAGACCCAGTGTGTGCTGAAATCACTGTACTCCTTTGATCCGCTTCAAAACTCCCAAGTCTTTTTTATCTACGTGACTGTTTGAACTAATGAGACACAACAAGTATATACTCATAATTAACACTGTCCATGAGGATTTAGATGGGGAATGCAATTAATTCTCCTTTTAGCTGTCCAATTTCCAACATTTTGGTGAGGAAAGTGAGCAAATTACTTAGAGACAATTGTTATCAAGCATTCTGTAGAGTGACAGATGCCAGAAGCAGTTGGCTCCATTCTAAAATGGAGTGGAAGGAGAGTACTTGCATCTATGGACACCTGTTCCTATAGACAGATCTCAGGAAGAGTATTGCATCAAAGGATAAAACTGAGATCCCTGCAGAAATGCATCTCAAAACTCCCTTGCAAGTCTTCAGATTCAAAGCTCAAAAAATTTGTGTCCTACAGTCAAAAACCAGCACTGATTAAAAGGAACTGAATGTGAGAAGGCCAGTAACAGAAGCAAATACAATCTAGAAACAGCACTCAGAAATTTTGGAACCTGTTTCATGGCCAGGTGTAGTTGTGGTAGAATTACCTGTGAGACACCTTCTCTCCCATCAAAAAGTGTAATGGATGCAGAAGCTTGTGATTCTGTTGAAGGAAAGTCTGTGACTGCCCCTTAGCATCAGCTACACTGTGTGTGCTCTTCAAAGGTTGCTTTGAGTATTTTTTGAAATTGTTAAATAGGTGAAAAAATGGTCATGATTGCTTTGTTATTGCTGCATTTATTATTAAAGAATGCCAAAGGCTACTCTAAAAAAATAAATGAAGATGAGGTTTATTTTCCTACTTGATCCTTAGAGTGATAAACAAATTTACATTGGCTTAATTGCAGACAAGCAAGCTGAACAAATTTTTAACCAGTCTGATGGATGGAGGTCAGTTATCAACCTCTCATGAGAATGAAGAAACCTTTGAGGCCTCATGAATTGAATATGCCAAAACTTTAGGCCTTGAAAATTATCAAATCAGCCGTGGAGACGCAGACCTCCTTAAGACAATACAAATACTCTGTACAAATATTCCAGTGTTCCATTTTGCTTTGTAATCCTAGTAGAAGCAAATCAGCTGAGCTGTAACACGCTGCTGCAGCCACAATCAGTGCTGATGCTTAAACTGGACTCCCACCGTTATAAACACCACTGAGCTTCTGGTCAGGCACTCTCTGCAACAAATTCTTTGGATTTCTCTGTGATCTCACCAGGTGCAAAATAGCTTGTAAATTATATGACTCAGAGACCAGTGTTAAGTTCATCTTTTTACTCTAGTATCTTTGTAAGGAGAGGAATTTTGTGTCCTGTTGGTGCCCGGGAAGATTAAATTTAACCTTCCATTTTATTGATTCTGTTGGTTGAGAAGAAGAGTAGAGATTGAGTTTAATAATAATGGAGAAACTCTTGGTGCAAGTTATAGGAGCTGGAGAGCTGTTCTACATGATTCATATTTTGCCACCAAATGAAGCAACGTGGGGTTCTATCCCCCACAGTTATAACTTAAGTATCACATAGCTGTAGAGATGACATAAGTATTCAAGCAGTCTTAAAAATGAGGTAAGAGAAGACAAACTGCAAGCACAATGAAATCAGTGGGACCATGCACACTCATTTCAGAAGCATTTAGATCAACCAAAGGTTGGCCTCACAAAAGCCTTTAGGCACCTTATCCATTTATTAATGTACACTCAGTAGACATAAATAGAAACAAACTCCCTTGTTTTAGTAAATAAAAAAAGTATTCTTCAGAAATGTTAAAACCATGTGTTTGTGCCCAATATTGAGGTATAAGTTGAAATGTCCCAATAGCACTTTGGAGGCTATAGATAATCCCTTTTCCAGTTATGCACAGAAATACCCCAGGAAATTTAGTGCCTCTGCATAAAAGTAAGAGAGCAACCATTATCACTCCAGGCAATTCTCTGAGGTGTCTTTTATTTTGCTATATGTATCTGTCCTCTTCTTACATAAGAAAATTGTAATGATAAAAAAAATATTCCTGTGCCCTTAAACATGTAATAGCAACAACTCTTTGCTTTGGAAGAGAGATGATTGCACGGTTATAACAAGGAGAACAAAAGTCTATTCAGCTCATGCATTGCTATGATAAAACCTGCTGTAGCCAGCTTAATGAACCTTGGACACAATCAATCCTCACTTAAGTAGGTCTCAGATTTGAGTGTGTTAACAAGAGATGCAAAGTCAACAAGTTTAAATCTTTCCTGAAACAGTGCTTTCAGGTTCATAAATACCTGGCGAATGGAGTTTTGTGGCTGTTACTGCTGATTTCTTAGGGGATGAGACAGCTGGTCTGCTGGCATCCTGATCTTTTTGCACTTCTTTCTTCACACCTGTTTTAGGAAAAAAAATCAAAGGTAGAAAGACACCTGGTTTATTATTCTGTTCATAACTCTGCAGAACTGTGTCACAAAGATACACATCAAAATGGCAAAATATATTTCACCAATACATGTCCTGGGCTCTGCACAAAATGATGCTACACACACTTCTGAGTTGGATGCCAACCTGACATGTCTGCAATCACGACTGTGTACGTGCAGCTGAGCTGGCATGCACAGCACTCTAGGAGGACAGAAGAACACCTTACACACTACCTTGGCTTTCCAGTCATCTGCACCATGACAAATGCCATTAAGGCACAAATAGCTACACAGCTAACCCATCCTATCTGTTCTCAGTGCTGTGTTCTATCTCTTCACCTTGCCGTGAAACCTTATTCTGGGCTGCAGGACAAATGGAATAGGACTGCAAAGCTGACTGAAATTGCCTGCAAGTCCTTGCCCTGTCACCTTTTCCAAAGGTAAGGAAGCTGCTTTTTCTGGAGACCAGCTTTCCAAGATGGTCTCATGTAGTGAAGAGAGAGGCCAGAAGCAGAAGCAGGCAGGAGGTGTCAGAGCTGTGCTGGATGTGGCTGCCAGGACACGAGAGTGGGTCTCTGTCTGTGCAGCAAGGCAGGCAGGGACAGAGGTGGGCAAGAACATTGGGGCACAAACCTGCAAGACGCTGTGCAGGTTTACTGGGGATGAACCAGGGCATGGAATATTTCTGAGAGAGGCAGCTCTGTGTCTATTGCTATTTGTCCCACCACTGGAGCTCTCTGGTCAGGGCCTTGGGATGGTCTGCCAGGCAGAGCTCTGCAGTCAGAGACTGCCTTTGCACCAGGGAGACACAACTTCCTCTGAAAGCCAGTGGCCACCCAAGCTCAGCTCCTCCTGCCCACCCACAGCTCCCATCAAAATAGCTGTGGGGACCATGCTGAGTGCAGTAACATGAGGTCCTGCCCTGCTCCTTTGACATGGCGCGACAGTCACAGGATCTCAAGCAGAAATTTTTCATCAAAGAAGTAAGGAGAAAGAGCAATAAAAAGCAAACCCCTGGGACAATAATGTATTTTCCTGTTTGCTTTCCTTTTTTTAACCATTAGTGTTTGTTGAGGGTTGCATTTTAGCCTGAAGGGCTGTGTCACAGCACCTGGATACACAGGAAAAACAGAGAGATTTAAGGCAAATGACTTGCTATAGAGGGAAAACAAAGTCTGCCTTATTGACTTTCCCTTCTCTTATGAGTATGTTCACAGATATCTTATAGGAAAATGTCCCACAGAATCTGAAGTATCTGAAGCAGGGAAAAAAAATCAGATTTTCTTAATGAAAATCTGCCTAATGTGCCTTAATGAAGTGGTGCCTAATGACAGTGGAAGTCCAAAAGCTAACGCTATCTTCCATTTTGCTTAATACAAAATGTGACCTGGCTCTTTCAACAGTGGAGAAAAATGGTAATTTCATATGGGGATCATAATCTTGAGGGACATTTACTGCTTTACTAGTTTTCTGCTCCCTCCAAAGCCACGCCTAGTCACAGCTGCAGTATATATAGGTTTATTTCTGATGCATCTTTCACCCTTCTACTTCTGCCTGCATCAGGACTTGCATGCAGAGAGCTGCAGAGGCAGCATTTGCCACACACCAGAAGCTGAGCTGTGTAATTCCTAGCACTGTCTCTCAGCATTTGCTTGCAGAGTGCTTCTGGAAGGAGCACATGCAGCATGTCCAACTGTTTGTGGGAGGGGAGCATGGGACAAGTTCTGAAACCCTCTGTGACTCTCTTCCACTGTTCACAGGCAAATCACACCGTCAGCTGTCAGGGGCTTGTAAAGACTGAACACCTGCTCATACCTTTACTTTTGTCCATCTCTGTTTTCTCTGCTGTTCCTAAATACAACATGTTGAGGCTGTGATTCTCATTTGTGATTAATACTTTTCGCAGTGAGGTGAATAAAGATAGAAATTGCCCATGCCTGTCCCCTATTACACTGTAGTTTACTACAGAGTAGGACATAAAATAAGTTTATGGTGCCTTTTCATTACTAAGGACCTTCCTTAGATGACAGCTGTGAGACAAAACCAGGGCTTGCTTTATAAGACATAGTTTATTTAGTTATAGATTCAAACATCACTTTTTCACGGTAATAAGGCTTTGGTTTTTCTGGGGCTTTCAAAATAAAAATATAATGCACAAATGGGCCATATACTGAACTCTTTCATAAATATTGCTATGCCAGCTGCCAAACACAGACAACAGTAGAGAAAAGCGTGTGCTTTCCTTATGCTTTCCTTAGGCATGTAAATAATTAACTACTTTTGGTTTTGAGACATTTTCAATGAGGAACACCTGGGGAATACACTCAGTCCCTTGACCTTAAGCACAAAACAAGAAACAATTCCCCAGTTAGAGCTTGGTTGAAAGAAAATGGAGCAAAGAAGGCCAGGATTTTGCAGAGGGCAAGGCAGGGTCTGTGCAGAGCGGTGGGAGCCGTGTACGGGCGCTGCCCGGTAGGCGCAGCTGCAGGGGGAACGTTGGCTCCTCAAAGTGGAAGACCAGCAGAAAGAAGGTGCGGACAGATATCTCGGCAAGGAAAGATAAGCAGGACTAATAACAAGGAAGATCAGTGCCCTTGTTCATTTTAAAAGACTAGGAGAGCTCCTGAGGTCTGGTGAGGCAGCGGCGCAGTAAGCGGGCAAGGGAGGAGGGGTTGTGCCGCAAGGGAAGAGCCAGTGCCCAGCACAGCCTGGCTGGGAAGGGGACAGGGACACATGGAGCTAGCTATTATTCAACTTCTCCTTCAAAAGTAGTAGGGCCCTGGTGGCCTCTCTGTGGCCCTCCTTAGAGGAGAGGGATTTAGAAAGCACACAGCAGGCAAAAGGAAGGACGGTCTGCGGGAACAAGCTGTTATCGTTTTGCTAAGCTCATCACCCACAGGGAAATTTTAGGGGAAGAGCCATCCCTGGCATCAGACCTCATATAAGAGCTTGAGCTGAATGCTTTTCTAAAAATGGGGCTTGTTCTTGTCTTTTGAAACAACAGCTGTTAGTTGGTTCAAAGAGAAACATTCAGAAAACATGTTGATTTCCTGCAGGGAAAATAAATCTTTAGATTACAAGTGTTTGGGCCCAGATTTTGTCATTTCACAGAAATATAGAATTTCAAGTTTAAAATAACTGAGGGAGAGCACTGGTGTAGTAATCAGCATAATGTGCAGTAGCACAGGGTATGGTGCAGCAGGAGGTTATAAAGTTTGATCCTTTCTAGCTTGAAGTGTATGAAAAGTAATTCAAAGACTAAAATGCACAAACCAGGTCTGTTGCTCCAGGGTAACTCAGGAAAGAAGACAAACATTATTCAGTTGTTATTACAGGCCTGAACACATGTAAAACCTCAAATCATATCCTGTCATATGTATTTTGAAATGTCAAAAGGTGTTATGTGTGCAATCATAAAAGAATAAAAATTACATGAAATTACAAAAGGAAATTAAGCACCATAAGTGTATATTTCTTGAACTTGCACACTTTTTTCATTTTCTTCTAAATTCATCTTTTATAATGTATATTAAATCTGATCTGGAACAAATTTTATTCAAATTCTTAATGTTATTGCCCACAGACTGGAAATATGGAATTCTAATTAGCCCTGTGTTAAATGCCTGTGCATTAGCCTTATTCCTGCAGAATCAGGGCTTTTAGCACTGAGCTTCCCAGCAAAAAGCTCCTGGTATCTCAGGAACTACCACTAACTTCCAGGCTTTCTGGAACACTTTCCAAGGCTCTGCCACCCTCAACAACTGACAGAGCTCATGCAGTGAGAAGTTTGGTTTCTGGTAACCAGTAGTCAAAGTCACAAAGTATTAATTTTTATGTGAATTTAAGGTTAGAAACCTCTCAACATTTCCCCTCTTTTAAAAGCTACACTTGTGTAATGAAATGGATATTTCAGGCTGTAAGAGAATAATGAGCAGAAATATTTGTTTGTCTTTTCTGCTAGTGTGCTTAAAAACATTTTCTTTTGAAAAAGGCCTCTATACACACAGTTCTGTAAAGGTATTTACATTTCCTAATTAACATACACAGCCTGCTCCAAATGAAAGAGAAGGAGCAAATGCAAAAATAATTAGAAACACAAGGCAAAACATTCCAGAAATCACTTAGAAAAATAGCAGGCAAACAAAGCCACTTTTCCATTCCTCCATCAGTGCTGAATGCTAGCCTAGGAACCAGAGCAAAAGATACCTTGTCCAAGACATCTCCTCAAGCACTGCAGAATCAGCACTTTTATTTGCCTGTACATTTTTGAGTCTTCAAAAGCCAGTACACTGGGATGGGCTTCAATTTGCTTTCATACTTCAGACTGAAAGCAAGTTAACAAATTGTACACTGAGTATTTATTCCAGAACAAATCCTAGCATGCTGTAGACATCATTAACAATTCAATGGGACTAACTGCATTCAGTTGGATTCCAACTGTTCTCAGGAGTATTTTATAAGTTAGCTAATGAAGTATGCAAGTTTAAAAAAAAAACCAAACAAACCCAAGGAAATATCTTTAGTCACTCACAGACACAGGGAGCCTCTTTGAGTTTTCTTCTGCCTTTCCCCCTGATACCCAAGGCTAGTCATGTCCTTGGTGAGTAATGACACATCCCTGCATGCATTGTTTGAGACAAAATGAACAAAGCTGGAAATATGATAGATTCTGTAGAATGGGAGCAGTCTAATTCTCTCTAGAGACTCTCTTCTTCCTGTGATCTATGAGACACTGAACGACTGAATAAAGAAGTAGATGTGGAAGAATGACTATGTATTTCTTGAAGTAGAAACTGCTAATTTTCCCTTTGTGTTTGTTTCAAATTTAAAGTCTATCTGATAAGAACAAAAGGATAACAACTATTTAATTGTCTTGTCTGAAAACGGTTGCCTTGTTCTTGTATTAATATAGCAAAGTTTCTTTAGCAGGTGTTTCAAAAAATTAAGGAAAAAATAAACCTGATAAAACGAATCATTCTTTGGACTGAATAAAAAATCTTAGGGTAATTCAGAACATCCAATGTTAGTTGAAGAGTTAAAACAACTACTCCTCTTTCTGCCATTTTGCATGGATCCTATGGCATTTTATTGTCTCCTCCTGTTTAAGGTTGAAATTTCAAACCAAGACACTTCCTCACCCAGCTGTGCTATGGCATGTTTCAGAGTGGCTCCCAGAAGAAAGGTAGGAAAACTTGCAGATGAGCTCCCACTTTCACCTGCAGGGTAGTGCTGCATATCCCAGTGTTCAGTACAGGAACAATATGAATGTAACTGCACACTGCACACTGCTATTCAGCTTGGAAGGAAAAGTGTTTGCAAGGGGGAACAAAGCAGCAGCAGACTCTTCTCCCTTCATCCCTGCAAGAGTGCTGGTGCTCACTCTTCCCCCCCCAGGTGACCTCAGCTCATCCCTCTCCCTCCTGCTGACATTCTGCTGTCTGGATTTTGCAGAATCTGATAAAAAATCCCACATTTTACACTACAAGATTGCTGGTGAGAACTGAGATAACACTGGCCTCTTATTTTTCATCTTGACTGATTGCATTTAACAGCCTGTCCTGTTCTATATGATTTACTGGTACTTGTAGAAGCAATTGACTGGGTGAATGTTTTGAACAATGCTTTTGATTGTCTTTAATTTAGGGAGCCAAGTAGGAACAAGCTGCTCAAATGAATGCCTTATTGTCACTGTCATTGCACCCAAATTAGGGTATTTCTTATGCATGTCAACAGTTGTTAAACAACAACCAAGTAGAAATAAGAATCTCATAACACACACTCCTCAAATTCCGTAAGAGGGCATAGAAAAAATAAAATCCCACAGCTCTCTGATTTCATAGACAGTTGGGTGGCAGATCCAGCCTGGTGGACAGAACAGAGTCTCTGAACATTGCCTTCTGCAGATATTCCCCCATTTTAAGGGAAATTTAAACCAGAAAATTAATATATGCATGCTTCAAGTACTATATATTTTAATCAACATCTGTGGAAAGAGGAAGCTTATATGAATTTCAGAGCTAGATTATAGTTGCAGAGTTCCTGATGGAGAGCTGCTTTCACCTATCATTAAACAAAATATGAAGCAATACAGAAATGGTAAGTTTTAGTTAGGTTATCACTGCACTTCCAGAAGTAGCTAATATATTTAAGTGAAATTACAAGACCTCTCATTTTCTAGTCAAGTATGTGCTTTCTTTTCCCTTTTCTATAAATTGACAGACATGTAAATATAAAAAGGGCTGTGCAATACACTGAAACATAATTAAGTGCACTCTTTTCAAAGAGCAGTTGAAAGGCCATCAGTTCATGCCTGCAAAACAATTTGCATGACAACGATCTTCCACTGCTATTGTCCCATGCCAGAATTCTTTTCTGATCATCTGAAGCACAGCATCATCTGCTGCACAGAAGAAGCTAAAGGAGTCCATTTTCATTAATTAAATATTTTTTTTATTCCCTGCAGTCCAATTTATTTCACAAGCACTTTTAGTGAAATATCAGGAATATAATGGCTCTTGAGCTGTTGTGTCTTTATATTTTTAAGTGAAAATTTACAGTTCATGTGGTCTTCTCAAGAAATATCTAACACATGAACGCTTTCATGTGATTTTTCATGGCTATTTTTGATTCATTAATATAGGTAGATATTTTCATTTGTGAATGAATTTACTATTCATACATAGATAAAAATCATGTACATCTCTGAAATACAAAGGTAATTTTTACATTGCCCAATATTGCACTCTTTCAGAATTATTATTTATATTTAAATGACTGCCATCATCTTTGTGAAATACTTTCCACCTTCCTTACATAAAATATGCTGTGTGCAATACACGTAGTGCCTGTGCTCCTCAGCTGTAACTGTGGAGTGCTCTAAGCACTTCAGTTTAGTAAATGCAATGTCTTGCACAGGAGACTGGTCAGATGCTAAATATATATGCAACATCAAGCCTATAGAAATCACTGTCCAAAGGATACCTAAACAGAGAAATTTACATTCTGTAGGTATCTCTATCACATTGGGATCTACACCCAGTGTTCATATGCTATTGCAAGAGAGGCAAGATGAGAACTGCTAAAAAAACCTTGCCTTCATAATTTCTTTAATTTGTTTCAATCTTTGCTCCTATCAAATACTTAGCATTTTGAAGGACCATGACACTCTTTTAATTAAAAAAAATAAATTAAAATATCATGAATTGCTGCTAACTTGGCTCCTAAAAAAATTAAACCAGAACATTGGACTATCATAGTTTCTTTTGCTTCTGTCTGTTGTGTATAATAGCAACTTTCTAAACTTGTCAGCTGCCCCTGTTGAGGATCTGTGTCTGACTGTTTGCATAACACAGGCAGGTAACCCTACTTCCATGTTTAGTTTCCTTCCAGAATAAATCAGGCAAGTTTATGGCATGGTAATTGCTGAGTTATCCCCTCACCCTTACCTTGACCCATGGGCCTTTTATTGTATTTATCCCCCTCCATCAGGTTGGTTTGGTGGGCACCTGGTGTCCAGCCAAGGTCAAACCACTACAACAGGTCAATCTGTCTTGAGACCAGGTGACAAGGACTAGCAATGCGTAAAGTCTTTGTCTCATATTTTGCACCGACTTTTCCTTCCCAGCTCCATTTGCAATGTGTTATCAAGCCCTATGGGACTTACATAGAGATGAAACACTGTTGAGTAAGAACCAGCCTGGATACAATTATTCATTTTGGAATATAAACTGCTAGATCTAATCTGAACTTGATGGAACTGGTCATTTGAGACATAACTGAATTGAGCAGAAGGAGAGTTTAGGCAAGGAAACAATCTGGAAACAAGACTAAGATTTTTTTGCTTTGTTTTCTTGCCTGCTTCTGCCTCTCTGAGTAAAAAAACCAAAGATTACTTAAACCTAGAGGCCAATATCCTCATCACTGCAAACACACCTAGCAATGAATTATCTGCTCGATGGAATGCTTTGGTCTCTAAAGCAATGCAATGTTTTCATAAAGCTGCTTGTTGAGAACCAACAATATATCCCCTAAATCTCTGGCATGTGTAGTTAGGGAGAGTAAATGCCTTCAATTCTACACATAACTCACAAAATGAGATTATAGCTGTTGTTGACTGCCTTCAAAAGAGTCTACAGTAAATGAAGCCCAAATCAGCACACCAGCAATGGGCCCAAGGATGGCATGAAAACTAATTAAAAGCAAGCAGTAAACAGCATCACAGCAAGGTTTTTGCATTTCTTGGCCTAAGGCAGGTGGTGTTTGAAGTGTGGAGCACTTACCAGCGGGTGCTGTGGCAGTTTTTGGTGCTGGCAGTAAGCTCCTGCGTGGTGTTGCTGTGCTGCTCGATACCTGTGTCGTGCTTTTGCTGCTCCCCTTGGGAGCATCCTTGGAAGGTGCAGGTGCCCTGGGGGTGGTCTGCTCTTCATTTCCAAAGCTGGAACCTGCAGGAGACCAGAATTGCACTAATTATAAGTCCATAAAAATGTATGTGAACTGTGGCATACAGACTGAACTTCTATCAGCAATTATAATCCACAGTGACACGTTCTCCCTGCAGCTTGGGCTAAGTGACATGGACTTTCTCCAGTATAAACCCTCAGATAGAAATATAGAGTTCCCAATAAGTTACTTAAATGCTAAGTCTTGGCAGCTGACTAGCTGTCAGTTACAGTCTGATTCCAAGAGGAAATTAAGACCTCCTCTTTGTCTACCTCTGTGAAGGTACGTGGCTACAACACTCATAAAGAAACCAAGGAATTCCTAAATATATGGGTGGGTGAGTTTGTAGCTGCTAGAGGAGCCACACCACACATTTACCCTATCCCTTGGAAATTGCTGATGTTCAAAATAGAGGGGAATAGCAGGGTTCAGTGGTGCAAAGTTTCAAATTCCCTTGCTCATGTGGAGATTTCCCACTAAGAGTCCCTCAGATCACACTCAGACATTTGAATAATAAGATAAAGAACAAAGAAAAAATTCTGCCTTAACTCTCACATCCATTTCAGTCATATTCTCATAACAAATATTAGGTTGCCAAGTTTTCCACCTTAAATTGACCTTTTTCAAAACTTTAAATGGGTTTGGTGTCCTCCTGCATTTGCCATCTACAGAATAATGACATCCTAGATTCCTTGTAGACATAAGGAAAACAATATTTCCTTAACATTTGAGAAAGGCAAAGTTGGAGTGTTGTTTTTACCTATCTTTCTAGAAGGCCTAAGAGGAGCAAAAGATTACAGCAGATCTGGACTTAAACATTTGCAGAAGAATGAACATTTTGTTTGAAAAAAATAGTGGAGATAGTGCAAGAAATGCAAAGGATGTCAGAAAATGTCTATAATTTTTATTTCAATTGTTTTACAAAGATACAATATAATATTGGTTAGGTACTGCCTGCAGGAAAATTGTAGCATTATCTTAATAACTGGCACATCCAATCTCCAATATTTTTAAGACGTAGGCTTCTTGAAAGTGTGCAAATAAAGAAGAGATTTCATTTTTGCCTTTATTACTGAAAATCTACTAGAGAAAAAAAAGTAGGTTGGAAAAGAAAATCCTCTTTCTGATAAGGGAAGAATATCCCTTTTGGCTCTGTAAAAACAGCTTTAAGTTTTGCTGTGTCTTTGAGGCTGCTTGCATATACCTCTTAATTTAAAGGGTGTATGTGCAGTATAAATGGACTTCTACAAATGTATGTGACCTTTCCAAGCCACACTAAAAACTCAAAACAGCATAGTGTACTCTACACAGGAACAAAAAGACCTGAAGCATTTGTCACCTTTACGCATCTCTGCACATAACACCCCCTCAGCACGTCAGGTTAATGTTCAATATCCAAACTGCATGCATTTTTCACCTGTGTAACAAACATTTAAGTTTATGTGCTGAATTAACTGTGACAAAACACTGCTGACTTCCATAAAGTCACAAAAGAAGAAAATCTGGCCCAACCTAGCCCATCTCCTCTGCAGCTGTGCACGGGGGCATCTCTTCTGCCAGGTGCCTGGGGGATGCTGCAGCATGTGTGTCCACCTCAGGCTGTCTGCACCACACTCCTGAAGCTATTCCTGAAGTGGTCTCAAATATATCTTTACCCAGTCAGCTTGGGTAACACCACTTGTAGAAATATTTTTTCTTTCTTCAGCTATTTTTTATAAGTTTCCATTGCAGAAGCACTAACCTTGAAGAGTAAATTATTCTTGTTATTTGCAGAGAAATAGAGTTCAAGTGTTCTTTAATGGAAACCCTTTATTCTCAATTTCAGCATTCATTCACTGCTCTACAGTGTGGAGTGAGGGAAGAAGTGTGAGGCTGAGAGGGAGCAGGTGTTCCCTACAGAGCCTGGAGAGACCATGGGAAATTCCAGAAGGAATTTCCCTGCAGCTTGTTGAGAGGACTATGGTGGAGCAGATATTCACACTCCACACTGGCACAGGTGGAGAAGACATGAAGACATGGCCCAAAGGAAGCTGCATCCATGGAGAGCCCTCACAGGAGAAGGGCCCTGGAAGAAGCTGGAGCAGGTTTATCCTGGGGGACAGCAGCACTGGGTAAAGACCCATGCGGGAACAGGAAACTGTGAGATGGAAGAAATGGCAGAGAGCAACTGTAATGGACTGACCACAACCCCCATTCTCCTCCCACTGTGCTGCTCAGTGGGGATATGGGATGGAGGAGGTAGAGGAACGGGGAAGGGAGAAGTGAAGCTGAGCCTGTAAAGAAGCAGTGGGGGAAAGCTATTTTAGTTTTTTGCTTTGTCTTTGTTTCACACCTTTCAACTCTATATTAATTGTTAATATATTAAATAATTTTTCCAAGTCAATTCTTTTTTTGCCTGTGACAGCAGTTGGTAAGTGATCTCCATGTCTTTACCTGTGGTCTTATTCACCCTATTTTCTTTACTGTCCTGTACAGGAGGTGAGACAGCGAGACAGCGTCAGGGTGGGTGCCTGGCAGCCAGCCAAAGTCGACTCACCACAACAGCAATACCAGGACACCCAGGATTTGCTGAGATAAGGTCAATGTTTCTCTTAAGAGACATTGTCTCTCACTTTGATGGAGATTGGAAAGAGACAATGGGATACAACAACACATGCATGTATAATATGCCCCAAAAAGCAAATGTTTGCCGCTTCCATGGATATAACTAAGGCAGCCTCTAGTTCCCCAGGAGCAGAGGTAGATGAGTTTCACCTTGCTACACATAGATTCCAGAGCTTAAAAAGGAGTCAAAGAACAAATTAAATTAAGGACCTAGGAGAATGCATATTTCTCCTGATCTAGGAGGAAAATAAAGGTTTTGATTTCCTTCAAGGAATCAGCTTATAGCAAAATCAGAAAGATTATTCATCAGATGGTCCATCTGTTAGTCCCTCATGAAATAATGCCTCCCACTATTATCTGCAGCTGGTGAATCAGTAGCATCTGCCCTTCCATGATACCACCTCTTATTTTCAGTAAAAGCCTGTGCAGAAACACCAGATGTGCAGTGGCTGAACAGTTTCCAGGTGACCACAGCCTTTGCTGTATTGTACCTCCTCCCTCCTACTCCTCTACTTTGGCATTCTGTCCAAACCAGGGGAGACTCTGCTTGCCTTTGAAGCACCTGGTAAGTCATTTGGGGGCTGCTACATAAAAGGCCCTGCATTTTTGCAGATTCTGTGCTCTATGAGGAACAGCACTGCTGACTTTGCAGTAGAGTGTTTAACAGGCTATTAATGATCTGCTGGGGCTGAAGGCCTTCAGCCTCACTTTTATCATCTCCTCACTATGAGCCCCAAGGAATCCTACTCTTCTCCTTCTGGAAAAAAAAAATCCAAAAGACGAATATTCTTTTGAAGACTTGCAGTTACTTTGGAAAGTCCCAGCTGCAGCCACTCTTCCTCTACACTTGTTTGCCAGTAGACATGGCGAGATTAGGGCTGGGAAGATATTGTAGGCTGCATGCTCGAAGAAAACCATGACCAAAATCCCACTGGCTCCTAGATGTCTTTGAACCACTGTTTCTCAGTATCTACCACCACTCTTTTTACCACCTGGCTGCAGCTCATTTCAGGGGCTTCTCACCCTCAGAAAAGACTCTTTTGTATGTGTCACTACAAGTTTGTGCCTCTTGTAGGTGCTCCTTTTCTGAAATTATTTACAAATTTTATAAAAAAGGATGGAAATATTATATGATAATACATATAACTGTAAAACTAGCATGAACATGAATGGGTAGAATTCTGCATTTGATGAGAAATTAATTAGGCCATGTTGTTTGGCAGGTCTTGATCTAAGAGGAGACCGTGATAGGAAGGGCTGTTGTTCTGGAGCCCCACAGCTACAGATTTCCCTGTCTGAAGTCAAGGGCAATAAAGTCTCCTTTTGTTGGAGAATTTGCATCCTCTCTAGAAAAGCAGCTTGTTTGACAATGCCTACGGGTGTGTGTCTTGCTGACAAACAAACTGCAGAGCAGTGTTACAGCATGAGAGCAGCTCCCCGTTCTGTGGGCTGCTGTGTGCAGCCTATGACACTCAGAGACATGGAGTGAGTTTCCAGCTCTTCACAGCAGGTCAAGCATTCCTTGTGCTGGCAGGAGGCTTGGAGCTGATAGCTCCTGCCACAGCTGTAGTCACACTCAAGATACTGGGAACACGCTGGTATCGTGCATGCTCACTGAAGGACAAAGGTACCCAGGGTTATGGGAAGGCCTTTCCAGCATAAAGATCCTTGGACACTACTTGATGCCAAGTTAATGAGAATGAAGTTGTGCCTTGCTGTTGCACCAGTGATCCCACGTAGCAATTCTAAATCACTTCCCAGTCACAGAAATGAAGAAGCTTTAAAAAAGGATTTGAGCCACTTTCCAAATTCACACAGCAAGGAAACAGCAGAGACAGAGAAGTGAGCAGAAAAACCTGATCATGAATGAGGCTGGAATGACTATTTTTCACCTGCAAAACACTGGGATGTATTATTCCTCTGGGTTTTACTAGGCTGCACTTTTGTGCCCCAGTTTTCAAGAAAAAGTACAAGCATAATGTGAAATTTAAAGTCACTGCCATGGGAATGATCTGATAAGAAAAGTACCTAAACTGCTGAAAATAATCAGGTGATGCTTAAAACCAAAGCCTGCAAGACACTTTTCACTAACTTGGGACATTTGGCCATCCTTCAGTTAATGCCCATTCTTTATTCCTGACTGTTACTTGTGAAGTGGTAAGTAAATTTTATAGAATGATTACCAGATATGCAACCTGTCAAACGAGATTTTTATTTCACTACTTTAAGGGTTTCTGTTTTGAAGTCCAGCATGGTATATTTCAATATGAGGTTTCACAGTGTAATTTTCAAGAGACACAATTAAACATTCAGCTCTGTATCTCAAGCTGAAACAAAGCTATGGACCAAGAGGTACGGTGTGATCATTAGCCCTGAGGGCTAACCAGGTTATTAAGAT